AGGTCTGTAGTTGGCTGGGAAAATGTTTCGTTATTCCAATTAAGTTTGAACCAGATGGACTACTTGCAGTTTCCATTGGGTGGCACTATTGAGCTGTTTTGCCTCAGCTGCCAAATATTGTCCTTGTTTTAAAATTGTGACTCTCATTGTACGTGTCCATTTTCAGGAGATTTGAGCATGTGCAGTGATGTTGCTGCCACCTCCTCTTTGTTGACGTTCCATCGAAGGTCACGCTGTCACTGTTGAATGTAGAGGATTAAGTGTCACAACATGGTGTCACCAGCATCTAAAGGCTTCCCTGACCAATTTTGAGATGGATCAATATACATGGAAGTTATGAGCACTTATTGTTTTCTGGCAAATCATAGAAACCAAATTTGCATGTTCAGTCCCACATGGCCAACTTCATGCTTGGGACCTAATTAAAGAAAAAAAACAATAGGATCCTTGCACTGTTGTGCTTGGGACCTAATTATGTGGTGTGTAGGATGCGAGAGATGTTGGAGGCAGGAACTCAAAATTCCAAGTGTGCTGGGGAGCCGTGAGAAAGGGAGTTCTGTCCAGAAACTCAATCAGGGGCTGCATTCTGAGGAGTCCCTGAGTCTTACCTGGCCCTCGAAAACCGCCTCCTTCGTGGGCCGATAAGACAGTAAAATGGTTAGATGGTTTGTATTTATGTAGTGCTTTTCTAGTCTTGACCACTGCGCTTTACAGTACAGTTTGCCATTCACACAGTGCATCTATTAGAGGGGCAATTCAGGGTTGAGCATCTTGACACTATGGCACGCAGATGGGGAAGACTGGTATCGAATCACTGACCTTCTTTTTGGAGGACGGCCGCTCTACCCCTCAGCCACAGACATAAAATAAGACTTGTCTGGTCTTTTCATGATCAGAGTGACCAGCTTGTCCTGCCCCCCATTGATGTTGCCTGGTAACAGAGCTCAAGTCAGACACAATAAGAAAGTTTAATGCCCCTTGAATTATTTACTTATTTAAATATTTGTGCCGTGGTTGAGTTGAAACATGATACTCTGATGCATCTGACACCTGGTCGCCTGTCATCGCCATCACTTCTTTAAAAACGGTTTGTCACTGAAGAGCAATAAATGCTGGGATGGATTGGGTCAAGAAGGAGCCACCAGTTGGAGCATCTATTTCTCAAGGATGGAGGGACTTGGCTACAAAATGTGCAACATCACCACTGTATGCACCTTAACGATCTGCACATGGAACATGCTTTCTCTTTGGGTGCATTTTTCTGCGATTTGCTGCTGTGACATGGGAGATCAGCATTGCACATTTTCAATTCAATTCAATTTTATTTGTATAGCGCCAAATCATAATATACATTATCTCAAGGCACTTTACATAGAAGGTCAAGACCTTAAAATTGTATTCATTTTGCAGCTAATGGTCTTCTTTGAAAGCTTTCATATGAAGTGATCCCACGGTTCTGACAATGTGGGTTGTAGTGCTGGGCAGTAAACCAGTTTATACCAAAGACCAGTGTTTATTTTTTGAATAATATACATTTTTCATATTCCGCAACACAGATGAATAGCGTAAACAATGTTTGGAACTTGGAGAAGCAGAGGACTGTTTGGGAGGCGACTCCTTTCACAGATTCACAGTGCTAGTAGTATTTAGTAGGTCTTGAGCTGAAAAGATGGACAGGTTGGACTGTAAAGTTTCAGAAACTGAAGCTGTAGACCACGATGAAACATAAGAAGAAATTGTGCCGAATAGCTGTATCTGTTGTTTGGAGGTTTTTTCAGTTTTAAATAGTCCAACGTGGACCAAACAACCACTTACTGCAAATGTTGTTGAGCTGAAGTTGTTGCAGGAGGAGCCAACACTAGCAATTCACTCCACCACCTAAACCAAGAGCATGGAATACCAAGAATGTAATCGGCGTCCACAACATCAAGTATGGCTGGTGAAAAAGTAAAATCAAAGTTGACTCAGATGTCTCTTAAACGCTTCGCTTGAGGGACTGCCCACGAGAAGAAAAGCCAACGGTGGAGCGAGATAACAAACTGAAATTACATCGGCGAATTACTCGCACCAGGCTTGTGAGAGGCACTTGATTCCTGGGGGCTGGCAGAGGAGAGGCAGGTGGCCATCACATCAGACAGTTGGGTGAACATCAAGAAGACTGTCGAGCTGAATACTAGAGCAGTAGAAGAAATCAAACCACTGACAGAGCAACAGGAAGACATCACTGGCATGTTATCAACCCAAGGGCTGCTATAGCAGTGGCAGCCTCCTCATCCTCCTGATGAAAAAAGAAAAACTCACCAGATTTATCAAAGCAGTTGTACTACCTTTCTAATACTTAGTTTTGAGAAATACCTCTTTGGATATTTTACTAAGTGTATTTATTAAGTCAAAATACATTGTTTTGAAAAGGAAACAGTGATCACGTTGTTGATAGTGCAGATTATAAAGTTTGCACAATAAAAAACTTTACATATTTTGACTGCAACTGTTGCATGCATTCTGATTCCTTCACCACATAAGACTCATGAGTGCCACCTCCCTGTAAACCTTATAATTGTGTGGGACCAAGCAAAGCCTGTATTATTACATTTGTTGAAATGCTTTTCTACACTATACACTCCTGACAGTAGAGTAGGCCATTTTAAAACAATCAACTTCAGTAATTTATACCTCAATCTGTAAAGTAAAAATGGTAAAACGCCCAGTCATGCATGAAAAACAAACAGTGATACTGATATCATTTTGAAAAATACTCTGATGTAAGTTTTTGGTCATACTGCCGAGCACTAGAGGGTCGTACACTTGTCTCTGCTGTATCATTATTGGTGTTTGCCTCCAGCAGGAGTTGGTGTTGCCGTTTGAGAGAATCATTTGTTGTGCTTACCTTTCTTGTTTAGTTGTCCTTAACAGCCAACAGCGCATATCACTGCTTACTTAACTGTTATATTAGTAAATCATAATTTTAAGGGTCTCGGGCATGTAATGTCTACTCACGTTCTTATCTTTCGCCTCCCTCCGACCATCCCAAATCCCCAATTCTTCTCACCATCTTCTTTTTCTCCCAGTGTATGGGACTTCTTTATGCATGATGAATTGATATGGATGAATATCAAAATATGAAGCCCTAACCAAGTTGTGTAAACTAACTAATCATGCTTTTACAATGAGACCAGAGAGGGAATGTGAAGTCAGAAATAGATTTGTCAAACATTATTTGTTCCACCATTTCAATCCTTTGTTTTTAGATGTGAATCTAAAATGTGAAGAATGTGAAGTCTGAAAATACATTTGTTCAATTTTGAATAATTTAGGGTATTTTTTATTGTGGGGTACAATTCATGTTTTTCAGAAACATGCCCCCCCCATCCCCCCCGGGATCTGCACCCATGTACTTAGTACACATTCCTGAAACATATACAGTGCTATTAACAAACACTACTCAGACAAAATATAAGGAGGTGCCATATACTACTGGAATGCTGACACATACTCTATACATCCTGCTAGTCAAGTCTTTCTGCTGTACCAGTGATGGGGAATCCTTGGGTGTATGTTTTACCTTTTTTGCTTTGCTTGTTGTTAATCAGGTCCAAGTTTTTCAACCAAATTTCTCCTCTCGAATGGAGGTTTGAGAAGAGATTGTACCGAATTGGGCAGCTGCAATGCTGTTTCGTGCAGACCAAGGGACCGGGCTTGGGGTGCTATCAGAATTGCCCTTCCGGCATTATTTTTGATGATGTTGATTGGCCAAATTTACTGTACACGTATCTTTCCCAGCAACACTCCCTTATTGGCTACTCATCTCTGCTTTATTGATGACTTTTCTAGCGCCCCTGAACCATCAACTGTGTGCTTGAAAACTTGTTTCCCACACATTTCCACTGATCATATTTAGTTATATGTTATACAACATACGTTATTGTGAACATTTTTTTATCGGATCCACCTCAAATGTCACCAGGATATCCTGAAGACCTTGATAGTAATTTATTGTGAAATTGATGATAGTTCATTTTGGTTTGTCTATGTTGGCATGGCGAATTTAATGGTTGTAACTCAATACAAATTTTCCATTCTTCCCCAAATGTTGCATGTTTGATATCATTGTTATTTTCATATATATATTATGAAAGTGGCATAAACAGATTATCGTTAAAATACAATGAGCATTGTCAACATCAATTCAAGTGAAATGTTAACACCACCGAACACTGAGTGCATGTAAGCATGTTTGTGTGCTGCACAGTTACAGTGTAATAGGGGTAAGAATCTCTAGACACCTTTTGATTCTGATTCAGAGGGCTATAATACGATTATAAAACATTTGAGTGTCTTGAGGCATCAAGAAATTTAATTTCTATACATAATTTTTTTTTTAATTGAGGTGTCTTCACTACACTAAGTGATGAATGGATTAACACATGATCTGAGTCAGAGTTGCTGAAATAAAATGTGAAAGATGCTTAATATAGCAATAGCAAATTGGAACTCAATTTTCCAAATTTGACATTAGATCATGTTTATTAATACTAAAGTCTTTAATAATTGTAGATAAATGGGTAATTGTGGCTCAGGGGATTAAACCAGAAGGTTGGCGTTTTCAATCCCATTCTCATAGTAAAAAGGCTGCCCATAAATGCACTGTATAAATGTGTGGGTGGGCAAGACATTTTTTATACTGTAAAGCACTTTGAGTGGTCATCAAGACCAGAAAAGCGCTATATAAATACAGACCATTTAAATAAACCTTTGCACTCACCTTAAATTTGTGGGTTTTGTGGCAGTGCTGTAAAGCTATAATAAAATTGGCTAGACAAAAACACCCGATTTTTTTCCCCACAATATCTCAAAGATAAGAAAAGGAGGTCTTGCCCAGTGCACTAGGTTTCCAGAGATGATAACCTTTCTGATTCTTGAACTCAAAAGTTTCAGAGAGACAGATCCAACATTTTCATATGTTAAACCCTGACATTTTGCTGTTCTCTTTCCCTTGTTAGGTAAGAGCAAAGAAGCGGAGATCAAACGGATCAATAAAGAGCTGGCCAACATACGCTCAAAGTTTAAAGGTGACAAGGCTCTGGATGGCTACAGCAAGAAGAAATATGTCTGCAAGCTGCTCTTCATCTTCCTGCTTGGCCATGACATTGACTTTGGACACATGGAGGCAGTCAACCTGCTGAGCTCCAACAAGTACACAGAGAAACAGATCGTAAGTTGGCCACTGTTTGTCTTGTTTGTCACAGTATGGGATCTTGATCAATAAAGACTAAGGCTTTCTGCTGTCCTCAAAAAAATACACACACAAAAATCTCTGATTCAGGGAAGGCAGATGTTTCAGTCTATGCAGATTAACAGTTACGTGAATAAAAGGCATGAAATAGCAAATATTCTCAAGCAAAATTCGATGTGCCTAAATATTCACATGAAATGCTATGTACAAATAAATTATAAGGGTCGAAGAAAAATTGCACCTCAGGAAAAGAAAGGTGGAATCTGATCTGTTCCTTTTACCTTATGAAAAGAAAAAATATATAAAATACCTGCGTACACCCAATATTGAAGAACTTTCTGAATTTCACTGCTTGGTTCAGGAGCTTACCAACTATACCAAAGCCACCTAAGGGTGTATTTTATGATGTCCAAAGGAAAGTTTGAGGATCTACAACAAGATCATAGTTTTTTTCTTGACTATTTAATTCAATAACAATTGTGCATATTTGATTCAAGTATGCTACATTATAGCCTTTTAAAGCAGGGCTTCAGACTAACTTTTTACATGGGTTGCACTGGTGCAATGATATTATTGTCATCATCAACCATTTTATACCACTGATGTACTTTTTGGTGATGGTGTCGATGTTGGAGTCCCACTTTAGGTCCTGGGAGATTGTGGATCCCAGAAATCTTAAGGTCATGAATTTAGTTTTAGACAATTATTGCAAATCTGAAAATAAATGTAGAATGAATTTGAAACAACACGCAAATTATCCAAACTCAAATACCCCCAGAGCAGCTGTGGCTCAGGAGAGAGTGGATTTCCACCTTTCCATATGCAGAAGTGTCAAGATGGATGGCAAGATACTCAAGCCCCCTGACAGCTGTGCTGGCAGTGTGTGAGTGATGTGTAATAGAGATAGTGCTGCACATAGATGCAATGTATGAATGTGTGTGAATTGGTGTGTAGCAAAAGTGCACTGTAAAGCAATATATAAATCCAGACCATTTAGACTATTAACCTTGAACGTACGTCACATGTTACTGAGTGGTATTTGAAATAGCAGTGTGAGCAGACGTGGTGTCTCTGGGCAGTGGATTTTGGTGAATGTTATGGGGCAGAAGCCCAGCCCAGTGACATATTCACCTTCATTTAATGGGTGGTGGGTGCTATTTGCATGCCATTTAGGCCACTGGCAGCAAAATAGGTGGCGGGGTTATGAGGGTGAGTTTCCTGTGAGTTAGTGATAATCGGATTTAGGAGTGCCTTAGTCTGCTCTTCAACTAGGTGACAAGGGTCTCCTACAGCTGGTGGAGACTCCTTGTCACCTGGCTGAAGAGCAAATGCACCCTTAAAGGGAAAGAAATGAAGATTCATTCATTATACGTATACTCACCAGTGTTTGAGTCTGCAAAACACTTTTGGAGTTTCAGGGGTAAACACCGTTGCAGCCAAATCCAATCCAATCAATTAATCTGATTTTTTGGGCATAGCCCATATTCACAAATCAAATTTTGTCTCATAGGGCTTAGCAAGGTGCAACATCCTCTGTTCTTAAACCTCAACAAGAGTAAGGGAAAAACTTCCCAAAAAACCTAGCAACCTCAGAGAGAGCCACATGGAAAGGATGGACAGAAGTGTAATAGATGCCATGTGTAACTGAGAACATCAGCAAAATAACAGTATTTACAACATTGATTAGAAGAAACCGACTGTAAAATAATGGAATGTAAATGAATTGAAGACTTATTGTCAGTAATGGTAGGGTATGGGAGTAGGTGTAGGTCAAGCAGTCTTGTTGTAATCATAGTCCTTAATTAGCAGCCACCACAATTATGATGTACCACCACTATCCACAATCAGCTGCCAACGCGATCACGATCTCTGACTCATGATCCACTATTATGATCCACAATGTGGCCGCAGCGGGGAAGAAGTCAAGTCAGTAACATACTGATGGGACATTAATGCAATAAAGAGGCCAAGGAGGAAAGAGAAGCTCCATGTGACGTGTCCCTTGACATTGTAGACCAATAGCTGCTTAACTTAAGGGCTGGTCGAAGAAAAACCTGAACCAGCTCTAACTATAAGCTTTATCAAAAAGGAGGCCTACTCTTAAACACAGAGAGGGTGTCTCCCTCCGGAACTGAAACTTGGAGATGATTTCAGAGGAGAGGAGATGATAGCTGAAAGCTCTGGCTCCTGCTATACTTTTAGAGGCTTTAGGGTAGACAAGTAAGCCTGAATTCTGGGAGTGCAGTGCTCTAGTTGGGTGATATGGTATTATGATCCGTTTATGGTATTATTGTGCCATATTTTTAAAGGCCTTGTAGGTGAGGAGGAGATTTTTAAATTCTATTCTATATTTTACAGGACACTTGCTGCAGCATTTTGGACAAGCTGCAGAGTCTTTAATGACTTACTGCTGGAGCCTGATAATAAGGAATTGCACTAATCAAGTCTGGTTGTGGCAAAGGCATAGGCACATTTGTCTGCATCTTTTTGGGACAGGACAGGATTTTTGAGATGTTACGTAAGCGAAACAAGGCTTCTAGGGTTCTGTGTCCTTGAAATATGCTTCAAGTTTAGTTAATTGATTACATTGTTCTGGTTTTGTTGATAGGTTTAACTGAGTGTCATCTGCCAAGCATTGAAAATGCCTTCGTATGCTTGACTCAAAAATACCGAATGTGAAGAGACTGGTTTTGCTAAGGATCTGTGTCTAATAATCTGATTGACAAAAGTAGGCAAAAATGTAATGTAGTTGAAATAGAAAATTTAGTCTACAGTAACCATGTCAAAATTCTTGTTTAATGTTCATTCTTGACAGATTTGCACACATAATCAAAATCTGTCTGGCCTTAATGGTCTTGTTCTTTTTCCTTATAATGTTTTTTTTTAACTTGTAGGCCTTATTGTTTTTAAGGGGAAATTAGTTTGGTTGTGATGTTCAGTATCTTACAAAATAGTATTTAATACCAACATGAAAAATCGTGGACAGTATCCTGCCTGAAACAAGATATATCTGATATAAACCTTTTGCCATATCGACAAACCCTAGCACATACCATCATATCTTTCCCAGATGTAGCTATGACGTTTACTTTAATATGACAAATAAAGTCAATCCTCTTTACCCTTGTGTCCTTGTAGGCTAGGGGTCGATGTGGGCTCATCTGTGCCATGAGTGGATTTTGCAGTGGGACAGGGGGGTCGGGACCTCCCCCATTCTGAGAGTTGTCCCCCTCTATATATTGCAAACTTATAAATTTAAACAAGAGTATGCTTTGAAAACACTTGTGCTAATTATAGATTCAAGTTAAAATAAAGTGTTTTTAAGTTTTGAAAGATTGAACCCCCCCTCTCATTCAACCAGGGAACAAGGCCAAAGAGAAGAGATGGGTTTTTAACAATGATTTGAAATGTACTAGACAGGGGGCAGATCTAATACAGAGTGGTAAGCTGTTCCACAAGTTTTGGGCAGCTGCTGCAAAGGCTCGATCACCTCTGGTTATGTGTCTTGTTTTAGGTAAGTTGAGGAGCAGCCGAGTGGCTGATCTCAACTCTCGAGTGTAAATATGGAGTACAGCTAGGTATGGCGGTGCCAGTCTTTAAGAGTTTTAAAAGTTTACAGGTTTTTAAATCAATCCTGTGATGAACAGGAAGCCAGTGGAGAGAGCGCTACACAGGTGTAATATGGTCCCTCCTTCCTTTCCTGTCAGGAGACGAGCTGCAGCATTTTGGACGAGCTGCAGGCGTTGAATAGATGACTGGTCTTAGCCCACATAGAGAGAAGTGCAGTAATCGAGAGCTTATGAAGGCATGGATCATCCCTTCCAGATCTTCAACTGGGAGATAGGCCTTTACCTTGGCTATGTGTCCTAACTTTAAGAAGCTACACCGAACAACGGAGGAAATCTACTTGTCATATTTAAAAACACTGTTAAAATGGAGAAGTGAATATTAGGAGCTAGAGGGACAAGCAACATCCAGCAGTTAAGGGTGTCCAAACACAATAACCTCAGTCTTGTTTTCATTTAGTTTGAGAAAGTTTAAGTTCATCCATGATTTAATGTCATTTAGGCAGTCAAACAGGGGCTGCAGTGAAGTCTTAGTTCTAAGATTCAAGGGCAAGTATATTTGAATATCATCCGCAAAGCAGTGGAAAGAGACATCACATTTCTCAAAAAAGAATAGGATGTGGTCTAGAAGGATCCTTGAGAGACACCACATGTTAAGTGGGGCCTTCCCAGAGGAGTAATCACCCAGGTGGACGGAGAAACTGTACGAAAATCTGTACGACTGAAACCACGTGAATGCTGCACTTTTAATTCCTACAGAGTTTACCCAACATGACAACAGGATTGTCCTCGTCACTACTGGTAGCATGAGGCAGTACCTGCAGCCCAATCAGGTTGCACAGGTCGCAAGAAGGTTTGCTGTGTCTCCCATTACAAGTATCACGAGCATGGAGGAGATACCAGGAGACCGGGAGTTACATGAAGAGAGCTGTAGAGGGCTGTAGAAGGGCATCAACCCACCAGCAGGACCGGTATCTCCTCCTTTGTGCGAGGAGGAAAAGGAGGAGCAGTATCAGAGCTCTACAAAATGACCTCCAGCAGGCTAATGGTGTGCATGTTTCTGACCAAACTGTCAAAAGCAGACTCCATGAGGGTGGCTTGAGGGCCTGACTTCCTCTGGTGGGACCTGTGATCACAGCCGAGCACCCTGCAACTCGCATTTACCAGAGAAAAAATGAATTGGCTGGTCTGCCAATGGTGCCTCTTTCTCTTCACAGAGAAGAACAGGTTCACACACAGCACATGTGGCGTGAAAGAGTCTAGAGACGTCATGGTGAACGTTATGCTGCCTCGTCCAGCAACAAGTAGAAAGGTTGTTACTGCATTGTGGCAGCTGAATGCAAATGCAAGCTAACAAACAGCGAGACAGCATTTCCAGGAGACACATGCTTTCTCCGTTTAAGGACTAGAGCAGCAGAAAGCTGCACAGAAGTGAAGGGAGAAGATCAAAAGAAGGAAGAGGACGGACAAACAGGGGCTGTCAGGGAGAGATGAGGGATTGTTCCCGGAGCAGCAGCAGGAAGGATAAGGAGAGACTGGAAACTCTGCAAAGGGACCAGAACAAGGCTACGCAGGTTTGTATTTGTAAAACATATTGTTAATATGTTACTGCATTGTCTGCATGATTCCAACAAGATCAATACAATGCAATTTGGTGTTTACACCGCAGCTCTGTGTATACATCTTACCGAGTAATGTTAATGTGACGTTAGCTTTGTAGTGCACATCAGCCGTTATCTTTAAAATGTCAGAAACACCACTGAACACTAAGTATATAAATACTATATGGGATGTTATGTTGCAACAATATTTTGACATATAAACCTGTATTGTTATTGTCATGTTGGGCAAAACAAGTTACAGCATAGAACCCCTTATTGCTGCCATTATTATATAGTCAACCTAATATCATCAGTCAGAATTTAAAATGCTTGATGACCCTAAGTTGCACGACTGAAGCTATGTCCCTAACATCCGCTGGTGGCCAGTAACACCTGCTAACGTCTACTGTTAATTGGTAACTTAATTTATGCAGAAGACCTTTAAACGTACAAGGTATATTCTTCGTCTTGTCCCATGTTCTAATACATAAATAAAGCTAATGAGCTTATCTGTGTTTCTCCTTTTTCTCTTCAGACACTAAATCAAGAGATGTTTGGTGCAGCACAGGGAGCTGACCACCGGTATTGTGACTCACCATTTGCAAGAGTGCCATGGTGGCAACTGTAGGGACATACCTACAGACTGTTAGAGGAAATGCTTTGGCCAGTATCCTGAAAACTGTGAGTCTACCACCTCACTTCTCCCACTACTGCCTGGAAGTTTTTTACATATTCACAGGCAGTACTGGGAGGATGTTGTGGTATTAGGCCATATTAGAGAGCGAGGGGATGACAACAGGGAGTACCGTTATGCAGCATATCAGCATTTTATTTATCTGCAACATGGCTCTTAAGGCCAGGAAAATCGTCTCGTCATCACCAGCACGATCAGGGACAAGTTCCCTGACCCTCCAAACAATGACAGTACATATTTTTCATACCTTTTCTGAGTTTCCTTCCAGGCCCTCTGAAACCTTCATACATTACCTCAAGTATTAACTCACCATACAGCATCAAGGCATCAAACATGCAGATATAATTGGGGTTATGGCAATTATTGTTAATATTATTTCTGCTGTCTTTTTCATGTAATTGTATTCATATTATTATTCTGGATATATTTATATAGGCAACCTTTTGTATTTGTTCAATTGAGATTACACTGGAGTGAAAAGTGCAATAATAAAAAAAAGAATTCAACAGGTTTGCTGTATTTATTTTGTCTATATGTATATATATGTGTACTACTAGTCATACTCATACAAGCATTGCTTTTACAGTTTGTGACCTTTGTCCCATGGAGCTGGTGAAGTGGAATGATCAGGATGTGACAAAGTCCATAGGTCCTTGAAAAGCACAGCCGAATCATGGCGCCTAACATAAATCTGTTTATGTATATAATATTTGTATACACCCTGAGGTGGTGGGAAGTTCACTAATCAAAATAAATAAATATAGATCAATCTAGAATTTCAACAATTAAAACTATGTTCTTGGGCATGAATGGACAACATTATGGATCTATCTGTTACAATGTAAATGTAAATATGTGGGGTTTTTTGGGCGTAGTCTGTGTGCACACCCTTTTTTCTGTTATGTATGATCCTCCATTTAATGTTATTTCTGTTAGAAAACTTCCTACAAATTAAACAACAACCTTCGGCCGACATTCCAAATTTTTTAAGGGCACGGTCCTTCTTCGTCTATTGAATTCATGCTGCTGCATCAATATACAAACACGAAATGCCACTGGGTTGTCCACACTGGGCTACTGTAGCAATATGGGGATGCAACGTGTCGATGTCTCTGGGAGTGCGATCAGCGGTATATACAATGTTATATTATTTATATATATATATAAGGCTCGTTCTACCGTAACAACACTACAGTTTTTTTTTTTTATAGTTACACAGATATGAGAATTATATCCCATTTTTGCAAAGAGATCCTGAAAAATTGAAAAAACACTGCTCTTTTAATTCTACTTAACTGTCAGCTCAGCTGTGATACATTCTCTGCTACACGTGCTGCAGTCAGTGCTATTAGTATTGGGAACTATGGAGTCAGCATGGTGGTCAACTGGTGCACATTAGACAACATGTGTGCTGTTACTTATATATCTGTCATAGGCCAATATTGGCCAATAAATTTGGCGGGCCTTAAAAAAAAAAATTTCATGAAGGCTATATGTATCACAGACCGGTTGGATCAAACTGAATTTGTTTAAGCTAGTGGGTGGGTGACCTAATAAAATGTACACTCATCATCACTATCATCAGGAAACTTTGATATGGCCCACCCATGTGCACTGTATTTTGTTTAAATACCCCGTCTATTTTAAGATCTCCTTACATCTTTTTCATTATTTCAGGGCTACCTGTTCATCTCAGTGCTGGTTAACAGCAACAGTGAGCTGATCCGTCTGATTAACAACGCCATCAAGAATGACCTGTCCAGTCGCAACCCCACCTTTATGTGCCTGGCGCTTCACTGTATTGCAAACGTTGGAAGCCGTGAGATGGCTGAGGCCTTCGCAAGTGAGATCCCTCGTATCCTGGTTGCTGGGTAAGTGGCACTTTTTTCTGATGTGTTGAGTGATGAATACAAATATAGGTTTTACTTCATGTCACTGTGACTCAACTGCTGATATGTGACTGTGATTCCCTGCAGTGACACAATGGACAGTGTGAAACAGTCCGCTGCCCTGTGTCTTCTGCGGCTTTACAAGACTTCCCCTGACTTGGTGCTGATGGGTGAATGGACGTCGCGTGTGGTGCACCTGCTCAACGACCAACACATGGTGAGAGCGAAGTTCAGACCTCTAGATACAGGACAGTTTTGTTTGTCAGCAGGCAATAACTACTGAACGGTTTCCCACAAAACTTGGTGGAAGGATTTTGGGGCAGTGGTACATCCCTGAATATCCATGTGCGTAATCCTGCTAAATAACAAATAAAAGCAATTACCTCAGCCTCTTGGTAACCGCAGGACTGGTCACTACTGGGCCCTGATAAATCAGTGACGTTATTCATCTTCTGCCGTGTGCTCCTGTGTCTTTGTGGTTTAGGGTGTGGTGACAGCCGCCATCTCTCTCATCACTTGTCTGAGCCAGAAGAATCCAGATGAGTTCAAGACGTGCGTTTCCCTGGCCGTTTCCCGACTCAGCAGGGTGAGTCTGCGTGCGCGTGAGAATGCTTTCTGTGGTTATGTGAACAAACAATCTTTGTGAGGACATTGTTAGAATTGGTTGGGGTTATGTCTTTTTGGTGGGGGTTGGGGTGTGGAGGTTGGAGATAAACAACAGCTGTATGAGTGATTAAGAGATAGTTAAAGTAAAATTTTACACCTATAGACTGAATGAAGAGAACGAGTGCCGATAGTGAAAACAAAAGAGTGAGAGAAAGATACAAAACGTAATTTTCTCATTGTTTCACAGCGGTTACGTTCTAAAGCACAAAAACAACCTGCTGGAAGAATGTTTGTTTTTCTTGAACATAATATCATAAGATAAACTTGAAGGAAATTTCTTAAAATTTGGTAGAAATATTCACTTGTGTCTGGAGGTCAGAGGTCTGGGCAGCTGTGGCTCAGGGGTTAGAGTGGTCGCCCTCTTACTAGAAGGTTAGTGGTTCGATCCTAGTCTTCCCTAGTCTGCATGCTGAAGTGTCCATGTTAAGTGTAAATACATACATACATTTAGCCAAGAGCAGCTTTTCTGCTGTGAGAGACAGACAGACCCCTGTCACAGAGAGCTTCATTCAGCAGGACATAAACATTAGTCAAACATTATCAACAACGTAATTTAGACTATAGTTGTACTTTCATTAACACTGGTAAGAATCTTGATGTAAGATAACTAATATCATTCTGAAAGTCAAACTGTATCTTTAATTCTGTTTTGACTACTTGAAAGTCTAATTTTCAACATCTGTAACTACATTGACTGGTAATATTCAAAGTACTTTTGTTATTCGTGTGTGCGTTTTCTCATTATAGATCTACAATTTAATTCTGACCAGTTCAATATTAATTTAAGTATCTCGAATTGAGGCATATTAAAGATATAGTAATCTATTGAACGTAATTCATTTGCGGATATCTGTAGAAAGAGCATTGTAAAAGAAGACAAGGAAGATGCTTTATGAATAAATCGCTGGAAAGAAGAAAATGTAGCTTTTGTTTTTGTATCTAATTAAGATTCAATTGCTCAAAAAAATTAATGACAAAAACAACCTGCTGAAAGTATGTTTTTTTTTTTTTTTTTTTGAAGATAATATCTTTAAGACCAGCTTGAAGAAAATCTCTTCAAATTTGGTAGAAACATTCGGTGTCACAAAACACGTCTTTGACCTTTTGAGATTACTTGAGGGAATTTCTTCAGTTTTTGATGAACTGACTCGATTTCAGTGGTCAAAGGTCACGCTGATCAGCAAAAAGAAAAGAAAAAAGAAATATGTAGAAAGAAACTTCACTGGTTGTAGGGTTTTTACTTGCCAAAAAGTAGGCAGGGGTGGTACTTAGCCGTACAGTCATTTCACAACAAACTTAATTGATCACATAATCGGTTGATTACTATAACTGAATTGTGTGGCTTTGTGTGTCTAGTCCCAGAACTCGAGGGACAGGTAACGGTGGATTTTAAGATAAGGGCGATATCACATTGCGCACTCAAAAACACACACATGCTCACTTTCTCTGTCTCTCTCACTTGCTCTCTTCCCCTGTCTTGCACTGACTGGCAGACACACACAAAGAGACACACACACACACACACACACACACACATCGACTCAGCTGATGTCTCTGTCCCGCTGCAGTTTAAATGGTGATTTTAAAAAAACACAATAATCAATACTTTTCTTAAATGAGTAAAACCTTTCTTCATAGCTGCTTGCATTAATTAATTCCAGACTCTGCTCGCTCTCTTTCACTGACTGGCACACACACACGCACTCTCACACACACACAGTGTCATCAGACACATTTCTAATGTCAGACTGGTTAAAAACAACAGAATTTGTAAACTTGGACAATGTATGGAGAGCTGGAGGAGATGACAGGGAGCACTTGGCTTGGCTCGATTTGGTTGGAAGTGCACGGTGCGAATGATAGAGGAACAGTAAAGTACTGACAGAGCTGGTAAAAACTGAAAACAAAATTAACACTCTAAGCAGATTACTTAATCAATATAACTAAAGTATTTGAGCATTTGTATTTCAAATTCGCAATTCTCTATGCAGGAAAAACCCTGGGTTGGTGGTAGCATACAACTGCAGTGCAGTAATTTTAGTTTTTTACCTTAATGACCTCTCAACGCACCTTTAGGTTACAATTCAGATTCACTCATTACATAGACATTCTTGCAGTGCTTCTTAACACACACATGCTTGGGATTAAACCACCAACTTGTAATTAGTGGACAGCCCGCCCCCAATCTCCAAAGCCCTGAGCATTTAACTTTTAAGTTAAATACCAGACTAAAATATGAAAGCTGAAACCTTGTATGTTGATAGATAATGGTAATTTCTGGGCTTGCTATATATAGTAGGCAGCAGTTTACAGAGAACAAGCTCTGTCTTAAACAGGTTGAAGTCTAACTATCCTAATTCATTTAAAGAAAGTATCTGTTCTTTTTCTAGATTGTGTCTTCAGCCTCCACTGACCTGCAGGACTACACTTACTACTTCGTGCCAGCACCATGGCTCTCCTGCAAGCTGCTGCGACTGCTGCAGTGCTACCCTCCACCAGAAGACGGCGCTGTCAAGGGTCGTCTAGTAGAATGCCTGGAGACTATCCTCAACAAGGCCCAGGAGCCACCCAAATCCAAAAAAGTCCAGCACTCCAATGCCAAGAATGCAATCTTGTTTGAAGCTATCTCGCTCATCATCCACTATGACAGGTGAGCATTCTGAGCAACATGACTCTGCACTACAACAAAATATACATTCAATCAGCAGTGTAGTATCTGGAGCTTGAAATGACTAAAGTTATGATTACTGCTATTTTGATCACTATTGTTACTATTATATTAAAAAAATCTTAATTGTTCTGATTGGCTACAAGGAGGACTGAAATTTCCAATTTAAGAGGAAGATAGCCTCAGTGATTAGTTATCTTAAATGTGTGTCAAATTTAGCTGAAAGGGATCTATTGGCAAACATTTAATTTAAAATAATCCTTGTGATGTTTTCACTAGTGTCTAATGGTATGAAATGTTGTTTTCTTTACCCTAGAATGGAGCCTTTGTATTTCAGTACTTAATATTTACATCAGGACCTCCCTCCCTGCTAAAGGGAGGGTGCGGTGAGGTGTATTCAGCCGCAACATGCAACTTAACCACTAGACTAAATTCTACACACTGAACCTTTAATGTAGACCATATTGAAATGGCTTTTACGCAAATGCATGTTCACATTGTAGGATATTGTTAAGTATGTCCAACATGTACACCTTATTATTTCATTTTCTAGTTATTTATACATCCGTCTTGAAATACTCATTTTGTTTTGTTTAATGAATGTTAGAGTCTAGTAATGAGGTGATCTGTTGATGTGCTTTTTCACAATGTGAGTTTCACTCAGCCTTTTTGGTCTTTGTTTGTCAGTGAACCAAATCTGTTGGTGCGAGCCTGTAACCAACTGGGCCAGTTCCTGCAGCACAGAGAGACCAACCTGCGCTACCTGGCTCTGGAGAGCATGTGTACTCTGGCCAGCTCTGAGTTTTCCCATGAAGCTGTCAAGACACACATCGAAACCGTCATCAATGCCCTCAAGGTGGTGCCCTGCACTAATAACTAATTACAGTCACTGAGCATGTCTGAGGAATATTTTGATAACAGACCAGTCATCCCACATGTGTCTACTTCACAAAAAAAACGTACACTATCTTTTAAATGGTATATTTATCAGTTGTACAGGACAGTCCACACTCCACACAATGTGATCCAATTGTCTGTGGGTCATTCTTGTCTTTCTCATTTTGTGGTGTTTGTCTCTGTAGACTGAGAGGGATGTGAGCGTCCGACAGAGGGCAGCTGATTTGCTGTATGCCATGTGTGATCGCAGTAACGCCAAGCAGATTGTAGCCGAGATGCTCAGCTACCTTGAGACAGCAGACTACTCCATCAGAGAAGAAATGGTAGGTGTGAGAGTTCTTGTACAAAATATATAGATTTTTAGAGATCTGTCTATAAATGTCAGTGTCTTAATGTCAGGTGCGTTGATGAACATCAAATCATTTTTCTGAAAATGTATTTTTATTTACATTCTCAAATGTGCACGTACACTCAGCAGTGTCCAAAATGAATCATTGATTTATTTTTGACAGTTTTCAAAAATGACACATTATCTGATTAAGCGATCCCTTACTCTTTCAGGTGCTGAAAGTGGCAATACTTGCAGAGAAGTATGCTGTGGATTACTCCTGGTACGTGGACACCATTCTCAATCTCATTCGCATTGCTGGTGACTACGTGAGTGAAGAGGTGTGGTATCGCGTCATTCAGATCGTCATCAACCGAGATGATGTGCAGGGCTACGCAGCCAAAACGGTCTTTGAGGTATTGCTTTATAAAATCTTAAAATGTTACAAAGATGCTGTTAGAGCTGGATGTCTACAGTAGATAGGACTTATCCTGTCCATATGCAAAAGTGTCCTTGGGCAAGAAATGGAAGCTGTGTGTGTGTGTGTGTGTGTGTGTGTGTGTGTG